TGACCTCCATGGGTACTTCATTTGTCGATGTTCATCCTCCATCAGGTGCATTTTCAACCACAAATTGGTACTTGACTTATGTTTCTAAAATCTTAGTCCTTATTGGAATTTACTTGTATTTGTAGGTCCAAGAGTTAGCACAAAGGGCAGTTGTCTCTGAAGCCACTATCGAGGTCACACCGAGGTGGCATCTATTCATCCTGAATCCACAAAGGATGATCGATATGGCTTGTGGGTTGAGGTAGATGAAGGTCTAAGGCTAGTGGCCCATGGATCAGTTCATGAAGGGGCTTCAACCATCCACAATGTGCCTTTGGATCCTGACTTGGTCAAAGTAGTGGTTGAAAAGGTGGTTGACACTGCGGCTAGTGTCCCTATCCCCACTAAAGAGGTGCAGACAGTGGGCCAAGCCCTTCAGACCTTCATTACTTGGCCCCGACATTTAGTTAGGTCAATAATGGCAAAGGTATGTATATGTATGGTTATAATACATCTAACACATAAATAAATTGATTTATTGTTTATGATTATATTTTATAAAATATGTAGGATGTTCGGCAGCCAAAAGACTTGGGTAAAGCTATTGTCACTCCTTTTGCATCTAAGGAGAAGACACCAGTTGTGGAGACTTCTCCAAATCCAATTTTTGATCTCTTGTTTCTTTCCCCACAATTGTATCTGCAGTCATTCCAAGTTCCATGGGATTGTACATTATTTGGGATGGCTTCTAGTAATATCCCCCTATACATTTCCCACACTGATGCCCTGGAGATTGGGATGGGCAATCAATGTCTAAATATAGCTGTTTTACAATTTTGGACATTGTAAGTTCATATCTTTCATGACTCTTTTCATTTTAGTAAATATATAAGCTATAAGTTCACTTAAATTGACATATTTTAGGATGATGCACGAAATGATAGGGGAGCAGGACATTGGTCATGTGTATGGATTCTTCGAGCCTCAATCCATACAAAAGTCTGGGAATAAGCGTGATCAAATTCTCAGTTACATGCAGAATTGAATCACTGATTCTAAAAAAGATATTTACCTTGGAGCATACCATCATTCGTAAGTTATCCCAGCCTCTTCTGAAGTTTTTTTAATAGATTCTAATCATGTGTATATACAGAAACCACTGGCAGCTATTAGTTATTTGTCCAAAGCAGAATCTTGTGTGTTGGTTCTGCTCATTGGGAAGGAAACCTAACATGGAGCTAAAAAATATTGTAAACGAGTAAGTATTTCTTATATTATGTCTAAACATCTTGATTATTCTATTTCTAACCCCCTTCTTTTCAATATATAGTGCTCTAAATGTTTGTAGTACATTAGGTGGAAAACACACAAGTAAAAGCACAACTCCAAATTGGAATTTTATCAAAGTAAGTAGTCTTTATATATATTATACTATCTATTAATTTATGTTCAAATTTAATAGTTATTTTTAACATATTTAGTCATTTTTAGTGTAATAAACAAAATGGAGGATACGAGTGCGGCTACTATGTAATGTATTGGATGTGGCTCATCATTTTTGGTAGCATTCAGGATAGTTGGAATGAGGTAAGTTGACATTTGCTATTATATTCAATTCCTTTATTTTTATTGCTTAGGGTTTACCATTCTATTATTGTGAACTTCTTACAGGCATTTAAAGATATAGAACCTTTGCCTATGGATACTATAGACATGGTTAGAAACAAATGGGCAGAAAAGTTTGTACAAGTAATTAGGAATAGGATTGATTGATAATTTTTTGTGTATTTTGTACATAATTTGGCTAATTTTGAGATATATATCTATCATTTTATATATTAGTGATTAGCTGAAATAAATATACTGTCTGGACTGAGATTACAGCAGGTCGTGTACTGTTGGTGGCACTAAAACAGACCTACATTTAAAAAAAAAAGGATATTCTACGTCGGTTATTGCATTAATCGACGTGTAACGTCGGTCGCTTGAGCGATACAGAGGTCGCTTGAGCGATACAGAACCCGAGAGTCCCCTTTGTTTGAAGGCTTCGTCGCTCAAGCGAGTACACCGGTCGCTTGAGCGAGAAAGAACTTTCAACGTCGATTAGTTCAATAACCAGACGTAGAATTTACTAATTTCTACGACGGACATTTGGTTAACCGACGTAGATATATATCACTTTCAACGTCGGGTATTCGAACCGACGTAGAATCCTTTGACATTCAACGACGCCTGAATCAACGATGTCATTGGAACCGACGTTGAATGCCTTCCACACCCGACGTTGAATGATCATTCTGTAGTAGTGTTAATATACATGAATCTAAATCTTAACAAACAGGACATCTAAGCTAAAATTTACTACAAATGACTTTGCTATCCTTCTATTGTTTACATATCTATAGTAGTTATAATATACTACTATTGCTAACAATAGGTCAAATTATTTTTTCATTAACAAAAGTAAGAAGGATTCTCAATTTACAAGGAATAATTCATCATGTTTTTTTATTCACAAAATCATCTATTATTGACTTAATGGCATTAGCTGATTTTGATTAGGGATATGAGGATAACAATAAAAAGTTTATCATTAGATATTGCATTTATTTTAACTAAAGATAAACAAGATATTCCAATAAAAAATTCGTATTAAAATAACTTGAAAAAACGGATTAACCAAAACATGTCTTGGATTTTGTTAAGATAAAAATGATCTCCCATAAATAAAAAAAATATTAAGTTAGTTAAAAATAAAACTAATGATTATTTTTTATTATAATTAAAATAAGTTATCTTAATTGAGATAAACGACACACAAAATTAAACCTATAATATCTAATATTGAGTTGAATGTTAAACATGAATATTGATGTTTTTTAAATAAAAATTCATTTAAATTTTACAACCTCTAACAAAATTATAATTATATATAAAAATTTGAAAACTAAAATACAAAATTTATGTAATTTGATAAAAACAAATGCAAAGATTTGAAGGTTAAAATATATAATTTAACGAAAAATGAAAATATATTTAATCAAATGTAAAATTGTACTCATATCATTATCATACAAATAAAAATCTGTAAGTGTAAAAAAAAATGTGAACTATATTTAATGATAAAAAAAGTGATAAAATATAAATTTAATGTAGATACTGGGGAAAAAAGTGGGTAGATGATGTCATAAATAGGATTAAAGTAAGTGTGGGGGGTGTTACTGAAGAAGCAAATCACTCCATTTCCAACGTAGGTGGAGAGAGTAGTCTAGGTGAGGCGCATCGGGAGTGGATGGAATTTGAATTTGAAGTGGAATGAATGACATTAGTACATTACCATTCCTTTCAGGGTGGAAGTAGAGACATGTGTGCATGTAGTGGAAGTGGAAGTGGAACTCAAACCTCATTGCTGGTTGGGGGAAGGTTCCGTGGGGTCCACGCCAAATGCGGCGAGACGCAGCATTGCAAATACAAATAATAAAGCCATTTTCTTTTCTTCACTACCTTTCCATTCACCTCATCCTCTCAAGCATATGAAATCAAACGCTCTTTCCTTTACTTTCTCTTCTCCACTATTCCCTTATTGGATCATCTGGGGTTTAGCAAAATTTTCCAGTTGTAATTTCCATGCTCCAGTGGCTCCCACTCCCTCTCCCATTTTAAGATTTGCAAGAGGAACAAGTTACAAGATATGAATCAAATTGAAACTAAAATATTTCTATGAAAGGTGTTTTATAATTAGTAAGATTTGGACGACACACTGACGCCACCCGTGGTATTCGGCTGTCTTTGGTAAAGCCAAAAATTAAACCAGCAAGACGCAATTACCAGTTTTATTTGCGCCTTGATTCCCATTGGCATTCTAAATCTTTATGGCTCCTTGCATACTCCAAAAGCCACCTAATATCAACTCATGCTTCTTTCTCTTTCACACCCCTTCACTCCTTCATTAATTTATTCATTACTTAGTAACATATAAATAAATCCAAATACAATATATTTTTATATTTTCTACTTTCTCTGCAACTACCTCTGTAATTCGTCAGTTTTATCAAAGTCATCTGCTAAAGTTCATGTAAATGCGAGTTCCATAGGAAATTTCAACAATTCATAAAGTCTTATTTTTTCACTGTTCATAAAGTTGTTCAAACTTCAAACTCGTACTATCTCTGCCTTCTAGAACATTTTATTGTCTCATTATTCTCGTATTGTTAAAGAATATCAGTAGTCAAAATTATTACGTGTAATCCACAAGGCTTTGCTTAAGAGCTGATTGTGTGTAATCCACAAGGCCTCGATTTGAAAACTATTAAAATCGATTACACTGGAGAGGTTGGACTCTAAATTATATTATCACAAGCTATCAGATCCTGCCATCTTGAACTGAAGATGAATATTTATTTATTTTGCTATAAAATAAAAAGCACAAATTCAAAGGGATGCAATTCAATATTGTACAACGTTGAAGACTTGAAGGGCAGGTAAATAAATAACAACAAGAAATGGATTGTGGCTGAGTCATCAGACAGCTCGCACATGCCGTTTATGAATGGATCAGGTCAAATTAAGCCATTAACCTGGACTATAATCAATACCTGAATATTCTTTATCCTTTTTAATCGTTTAAATTAAGCAATTAACCATAATTTTACCGCTAAAACTGTATCCAAACATGTATCGGTCACATAAATTTATGTCTCACGAAAAGTAAGAGAAATATGTATTTAATTATTTAATATTTAATATTCATCATTCATGTCACACCATCTTAACATGTTTGATGAAACAAAAGCAAAAGAAAAAAAGAAAAAAGAAATATAAAATTTATCACCGACGAACCCTCATCTTTCTCTCCCTGCCTGACTGTCTACAAAGAACAACAGAGAGAAAAATCCTGTGCCGGTATTCTTACAAAATCTCACCGGATTCAATTCCGGGAAAACCTCTTCTAAACAGAAAAGCGTTAAAAAAAAGGCGAACCCTCAAATACGAATCTCATAGGGAGAGGAGAGAGAAAACTCTCAAATGAAGAGGTTCAGCACTTTCCGGTCTCCGTCGGCAGCATAGTGATCTCCGATCCCGCTCTCCAAGCACGCCGTCGTCGTCCCGGACTCCTCCGAGTTAATCGACGGCGATCTCGGCCATCGAATTTCCTGCCGGCAACCGAAGCTCGCCGCGTTCTGCAGGAAACTCGGTTTCAACCGGAGATTGAGATCAGTGGTTGCCGTCTGCAGCTTTGCAAGCTCTTCCAATCGCTTGCGCTTACCGACGAAAGCAGCCTTATCAGACGTCGAACTCGGCAACCGGAAAATCGGGTTCGGATCTCGGACGCTCCGTTTGTCAGTACAAGTAACTTCGCCTTCGGAGGCGTCGTCGGGAGTGGGAGCTTCTAGGCCAAGAAGCTCCGGCACAGGCCTGACGGTGCCGCCACGGAGCACCGTCTCAACCGCGGCTTGGCACACGTGCCAGTTTCCGGTCCATAAAAGACCAACAGCACCGTTGACGGGATTCACTGTGCGTCCGCATGCTTCAAACAGCAAAGATTGAAACAGAGCTGCATAAAAGAAGCGTTGTGAGATATGGAAAAAATAAAAATAAAAAAAAGAGTGAGGTAAGTAGGTGAAGTAGAAGGTAAAATTTAGTTACCAGGCCTTTGGGCCTCAGGGACGTTGGAGATGAAGGACATGAGGTCGGCACGACCGAAGAATTTGGCTACAAAGACAGTGGCGTGACCTTGGGCCTCGGGTGTATCGATCCACTGTAGACACGGCCGCAGGATACAAGACTCGCTGCAACCCTTTCGAAGGACGCGGCAGCCGTTGCAACTCATGCCTCTTTTTCGAAGAGAAAGAATGAGGTGAGATTAAAAGAGTAAGTGGTGTGTGTTTCGTTGCGTTGCGAAATGTTTTGCAGAATCAGCCTCACATGAAGGCAGAGGAGAGGAGGACAAGAAATAACGGCAAGGGAAGACGGAGAGGCGGAGAATGGAAGTCGAGTGAGGGTGCAGTTGGGGTATAAATAAACGTTAACGTGACGGGAGGAGCGAGGGAGAAGAGGGTTGGAACTAACCATGGTTAGGTTAGTTGGGAATGAGAGAGTGAGTTAGTGGAAGTGTGTGTGTCTGCTTGCGGTGGCTTGTATGGAAGGGTGAGATTCCAAGGAGTTGGGCGTGAGCGGCTCCGTGTCTCCGCGGATGGATGTTCCTCCACCGTTGGATTCTTTACATTTTCTTCGCCCTTCACTCAATTCAGATATTGATGGGTGCCTGTCCTTTTCACCTCTGCAATGAATCATATTGTTACTTGCCTTCCATTTCCTCATGCAACTCTTCCTAATCTTCCTTTTTCTTAATTAAGACAATAATAATATTCCAACATTATCCTATTAAATTTATTTATCATTTTTTTATTATTATATTTAATTAATTACGCTATACATTTAAAAATTATCTGAATTTAATCATTTTATTAATTTTATAATAATAATAATAATAAATTGTTATTAAATATTAAAGTTAAATATAAAAAATATTAAAATTATATATTTTCAAAATTTGAAGGAATACATAATTTTGTATATCTTTCTATTACTAGAATGAAAATATTAAAATAAGAGAACAAAGAGTTTAGAATGTGTTTCAATTTTGGCACTGAGGGAGTAGAATATTTGTTTCGGGTAGTTCACATTTTTGGTAAAAATTACGGATTTAGCTTTCCTATAGTTTTATTATAAAATTTTGGTGCATAAGTATTTGTAGAAAATTATGAGCGGTGTGCTTGATATATGTAGAAACAAATAGAGGTAGAGATACATAACAAAAAACAGAGAAACAAACAGAGGTAGAGGTACATAAGAAAAAACAGGTCAGTTACAAAATATAGATAAAAATTCATCGATCAAAAGAAAAATAAAATGTATACAAATAAAATAAAATAAGTTATGGTATGAATAACTTTTTTGTTCCTGGTTAAAGAAAGTAAAATAAATTTTTACAAAATACACTTTTCTGCTTTTTAGCAGGTAAAAACATATTAAAAAAATATTATTTCATACATAGGAATAATACTCGTCACTTTTTTTAATGAACGGTGATGTTCTTACAACTCAAACATCTATTTAATAATTATAAATAATAATATTATATTAAGATGTAGGATGAATGCTTTTCCTGTTTGTAGTTATATATATATATATATATATATATATATATATATATATATATATATATATATATATATATATATATATATTATCTAACCCTCCAAAACATCTACATATAGGTTTTTGTTTATAATATTTTCCCTTTCGTTAAACCGTCCCAAAGAAAAATAATCACTGTAAGTAGTTATTGACAAATTCAAATCATTACAGATTCAATAACTGGTTTTAACACTATTATACTGATTATTTCTATACATTTTTGTGTGGAAATTTATAGGTGCGAGCCCTTTTTTTTTTAAAACTTATGTTATCTGTTTTTCTTTCTTTCTTCTCTGTTTCACATCTACCAAAGAAATTCCTGAATTAGAATATATATATGTCATGTTATTTTTAATGTATAGGGAATTTACTTAAACAAGTTTCTATGATTTGTTGTGTTTGCTGCTAACCGTTACATTAGATTGGTATTTCCCATGTGAATGTATAGGGAAATGTATCTATATAAACTCTAGCAATTTTAATGCTATATGAGAAAAAATTATCTAATTTCTCATGGATTAAGAATAATGGTTAAGTTTATTTAAATAGGTTATAAGTGATATTTGGTAATTAAGTATAAAATCCATGAATAAAACAAGACCAAAATTTGAAAGATTGTTTAAGAGAAGTCTCATTTTAAATAATTTTTTTCAAAAGCTTATATAAAAAAGAATAAGAAAAAAGTAGTTTAAATTACTTATTTTTCGTACTTAAATGAAACTACGAAATAGTGGCTATTTTACCAATGAGCATAGAATGACGTGAAGATGTACGAGTTTCGTAAAATATAATTCAAGGCTGTGAGGAGCTAACGTGGGAAAAGGAGATGAAAAAAAGGGTTATAAAATGAGGAAGCCCTAATTAATATAGTATTTAAAGCACTAATGATTGAAGGTTTGGTGTAAGATCAGGAAGCAGAAGCATTGTTAGCGTAGCAGTTCAGACATTTAAATTGTACAAAGTCAAATTATTTTTAGTTTCTATTCTCCCCAACAAGCAGCACACAGATTTTGCTTCAACTTGTCCCTCTGCTTTTACAGATGCAAATCATGGTACGATTCTCGTTCTTCAATCAAAAGATTAATTTTACAGCTCGGTTAAAAGTCCAAAAGAACATCCTTTTCGTACATACCTCAAATATTTATTTCCTATGTTGACCAACATAGACAAATGGGAGAACTCATCGATAACCCAAAACCAAACACTAGTTACGCCTCTGGGAAACACTACTGTATTCTTTCTTTTTATTAATTTTTTTAGTATTTGATTAGTACTGTTTTCACTGTTATGTGCAAACCTAAACCACCGACCCTGCATTGTCGTGGGGTTATTTGATGTCGTGTCACTTTTTTCATAAAATAAGAACCCGCGACACGTCTAGCTGATTAAGCAACGTCTGATTCGTTTCTTCGTTGTATTTTTCTAATAATGACGATTCCTTTGCTTTTCCACACTCATTCAATTCATTGGACAAATAAATATGAATATTTTCTATGCATTGGCAAACAAGGTTACCTAGCACCATATTAAATGCGTGGGAAGGATTAAATTTAAAGTTTTATGAATAACAAATCACCGATAAAGGAATTTTTTTAATTTATGACAAAAAAACAAAAGTGGTAAAAGAATATCAATAATGTTAATCACCAAGGACAATATTTGACAGAGGAAGAAAGGGTAACCCAATAGTATCACAGTTCTTAGTTTTCAAGCTTAACAGAGGGTTACTAGACCATTAAAAAAAAACTTACCATAATCAAAATTTAAATTCAGTAGATTCCATCACATACTCTACAATGACAAGTCGCTTTTGCAGACAATATTATTGCAAAGCAATGATGAATATAGGGATAAAAACCATACATTTATGCATCACCTTATTCATTCTCATCCTCTGCACATCGAAATTTTTGCAGATTAGTTGTCACCACCCACTTCATCAACTCGCTATTGCAACACAACGGTTCAATGTTCATAGGCGAACGAGGTAAGAAATTATTGTTCAAATAATATGTTTTTATACTTTAAAATTTTATAACCATATTTTGTCAAGTCAATTTATTGTTGTGTACCATTTTTTCTACTTAAACAAAAAAATTATGATGTGCATCCATGCGCCTCCAGATCAAAATTAGTCAAAGCAGAGATGAGTGTGAACTTTTGCTAAAAAGTTTTGATCCATTTAATCCATCATTGTGTATTTTTTGTTTATCAAATTAGTTTTAAAACCATTATTTTTAAGACGAATTAGTTCCTTTTATTAAAAAATAAAATAAATTTACACTTTTGGAATAATATTATAATACGTGTTTAAAATATTTTAAATAATAAAAGATATTTTTTAAATATAAATATTAATTATGCATCGTGTTGTCGTGAGTTACATAATTATAGTTAGATGTCATTAATCTCTTTTATATATTGTTAAAAAATATTTTTCATAAAACATTTTATAAATTAAATTTTATACTAATATATTTAAAACACCAATTGTTTATCATTTATAGCAGTTGTTGCTGAGAGATTTGATGGGTTTTGTTTCATATGGCAGTTTTGTAGTTTTTAATTTTCCTTTTACAATTTGTTTTAAGAAAAAGACTCCACGGATTAAAATAATAATAAGCATTCTTAAAACATTGATAAAAAATTAATTAATTGTATTAATGAGAACAATTTGTCAGTGACGAGGTTATGAGAATGATAGATATCATATGGTGACGTGATGATGAGATGTGGAATAAAACTCCCCTCGAAGGTGCCCTAACAATGAAATTAGATTAGATTAAAAGAAAACACACTTAACACCATTAATGCGAAGTTAATTAGTTCATGGCGATGGGTTGTAGAAGAGAGAGAATGAGGCAGCACTTCTAAACCGAAAGCATCAACATGTCGTTGTCGTGACAGACGTGGCATCCTTATCATTTCGCTTCGCTTTCATTTTTCTAATGACGTCTTGTTAGAATTTACTACTTGGGATGGAAGTGAGAGTGATAAATATTCACAGAACGCATCAAAGCAGAGAGAAAATGAAACTAAAACAGAATATTTGTTCTAGACAATGAAACGAAATATTAATAATTTGAATATGTGTGGAAATATTAGTACATTTGTGATCTCACGATTAAGAATTATTATCCTGTCACCCTCGGGTGCATTGGATTGAATTGCAGCCATCTTCTATCTGATGACTTATCACTGAGTCACGGTGTTGACTTTAGCGACAGAAACAAAGTTTCTCTCCTTCTTCTTCCCATCTAATCTCATTATCCATACAAACAAGGACGGTGACCTAGCTACATGACAGATATAGTTTATATTAAAATGTTCTTACTTTTTTACCCTTTTCACATTTAAAACTTATACAAACCTCAATAATATTTTTTACAGGACTAATTCTTAAAATAGACTTTTTGAAAATAAAATGAAAGAAATATAATAGTTGACGTAATGGTTGTACACCATACGCTCCTCCATTTTGAGATAATTTATCTAATTGAGAATTTTCGTTTAATAAATGAAAATGAAAATTTATTGATAAGGAAAAAAAAACACATTATTTCGAATGAGATCAATCTTTCCTCAACAAATTATTGATTTTCTTTTAAGTATAATTAACAATGAAAAACTTATTGAAATAAATTATTTTGGTAAAAATAATTATAAATAAGATAATAATATATACAAATATAAGTAATCACTTGTATCATTGTTAATCTATCTTAGAAAATTTTTTGATATAATTACTGATAATTTAAGATTAATCACATATGTTAATCATATTTTTTTTGTTATTGGTAGGACTCTCTCATTTATATATGGTTTAATTTTTTTATTTTTATCTATTATAAGATTTTAATTTATATTTAAATTCCAACCCAAAATTGTATATAATATTTTTTTTAAATTTTTTTTTAACATAATCTTTCTCTTCATAGAGTTTTAACATTAAATTACACCCAAATATATATATACATATATTTGTATCAAATTGAGTGAAAACTTTTTATGAAATCATAATATAAAATTTCATAAAAAAAAGTTAGTATGTTTATATTTTCTTAATACAACATTAGTACATAGTTGATGGTGATGAAAAATTATTCTGTGAGTATTTAAATATAACGACTGTCGAGTTTGTTAGAAAGGGGGACTAGGATAATCAGTGTAAAGATTATTAACAAATTGGACCTTCAATAATAATAATAATACTGAGACAGTTGTTTTAATGTTTAAGGATTTAATGTTCTTCAGATTCTCGCATGACGTAAGTTAATAGCTTAAAGATGCATGGTTTAAAGAAAAAAATAGTTAATCGTAGTAAAGTTTAGAGTTTTTATTTTCAGATAAAAATAACTTAAGTAGAAAATTCTTATGTTTTAAATTTTATTTTTAAAGAATCGTTATTTTTTAAAATTTTAAATCTTCTAGTTTTTTTTTTGTTTTTTATTAATTTTTATAATTTTTTAGATCCAAATATATCACAGTATTTCTAATAACGAGGAAAATATTTTCCAATTTTATAAATAGAGTAAGCGTTTTTTTCTTTTCAATTTTATAGTAATTTTATAAAGTTGAGCTTAAGTGTATTTTCGAATCTTGCATGTCATTTTGGTAGGATAAAAATGAATTTTGACTAGTTTAAGAATATTACAGGTAGGTCTGATTTCTTAATTGTGATTTTATGTGAACAAAATCTGACTTTCTTAAAAATTGGGGATTTAGAGTTTTCATACTTGAGAACACTAAAATTGAAAGGTAAAAAAAATAGTTGTTATTTTATTTTCATAGTACTCTAAATTAAAAAATATGAATTCTAAAAGTGACGTTATCACGATATTTGATTTGTAGAAAACTGATTTGTAGAAATTTTTTATAATTTTTTTGTCCAAAATTCTAAAAACCATAAAAAATAACTCAGAACTCTAAGCCTAATATTTCATATATACAAATCGAATTCCTAAAAGTAAGAGATCCAATGAAACAATAATTAATCAAAAATGATATTTGTAGAAAAATTTATGGTCAAAATAATAGACATAGGTCAAATCTTACAAATTTATTATTTACTGAAATTTGATAAATGATATATACATGACTTAGGATAATAAAATAGAAATAATGTGTGTTAGATGTTAATATATGTATAGAATAATATATTGTTGTAATGTGAGAAATATCATATGATATCTTTATATGTATGTTACATTTATGATATATTTATGAAAGTTAACATAGTAGTTTCTAAGAAGGAAATACTATGTTAAGATATAGATAATCTATTGAATTTGAAATTCTGTATACTAGACTCATGCAAAGAAAAAGTATGAGGTTTTGAGAGTTAAAGAAAGTCTCTATGACTTAGCTTATGATGTGAACAAAAACTTGTATACGATAAGTCATAATGATTTATCTTGTTACATGAGGAATAATATACCAATTATATACATATATTGGAGATATCCATTTTAGGAAAAGTATTGTGATAGAGGTAAATATTTGAATTTAAAAAGGTAAAAAATAAAAAAAATTACTGTAATATTGGAAGTTATAATAAAAGTTATAAACATAAAATATATTAGAAAGGGAAAGATAAATAATTGTTAAAATAAGATAGAAATATAATAAAATAATTATTATTTTAAATTAACATAAATAATACAAGATAAAAAAACTAAAATATATTATATATTTTATAAAAAACTATACTAAAAAACTGATCAAAAATTTTTATTTTATTAAAATTGATTCATCAATTTTTCTGATTTTACTAATTTTACTATAATTTTTCAATTTGTCCTAATTTAATTAAAATCAGATTATTTAAAAATAATATACTTATTTCTAATCCGATACTGAATTAACAGGTTGAATAGGATAATCCAATCCGTTTTTAAAACAGTGATTAATACCATTACATGCATACAGGAAAGGGAAATCCTATAATAGTATATATATATTGGAAACCAATTACATTTAATGCACAAAATAATATCACGACCAATCCTCGATAAACACACACATGCTATGGTGAAGCTTGGCTAGAACAAGAGAGGTACAAAAAAGTGATGTTATGGCCAACAATTTTAATGGAAAAAGCTAAGAGCTGAAAAGACTTCGGAGTCCCAATTCAAGTTGATAGATATGTGTGGGTGGACCCAGAATCACTTGGCACACATACCTACTTCATCCTTGACTAACAAGACCAATTGGGGGTAAGCTAAGCACAATCCTCACCAAAGATCTTCAGAGAAAACAATACAAGACTAGTTGTTGGTCATATTCTTCAGCTGAGTGCTTGAGTTTGCGAATCGGCGAAGACATTACATTCTTTCATGTTATGTACGATTACATCTTCATCATCCATAGAGTTTGAATATTAATTTACAAAGTTCAACCTGGGATTCTTATACTTCTTCTAGTGTGGTCCACTCTCAATTGCAAATGGCAAGACCTTTATCATCGGTTTTCAACTACTATGTTTACTTCTGAACCCAAATTTTTTTCCCAATCTTTTCTGAGTAATTTAAAACCTATTAAGATATTGAGAAAGAATATTATGTCATTATTTTTAGACTAATTCAATCTATTTTGTAGGTCCACCTCAGTTTTGGAACTATTGGAATAGTGATTATTACTCTTTTACTCTGTAACTATATTTGACTCATGTTCTTACCCCACGATGAAGAAGCTTAAAGAACTTGTGAATAAATTTGGTACATTTTTATTATATCTATGAAGATACAATAACTTTTTTAAAATTTTTTGAGAATATAACCACGAGATTATATAAAAAAGAATCAACTACAAGTCTAATATTTTAAATTAAAAATAATATCATATTATTTTATATATCTAATTTGTAAATTTGATTCATAAATATATTTCCGTTATAAACCCATTGAATAGTCTAACTATAAATTTTTTATTAGAAATTTGCTACCACTCTCACCTTTAATAATAATATAATAATAAATTTTAAAACAA